GTCTTGTTTCTTCCCCTTGTATGTAGATGAGGTGTGGAAGCCTCAGCTTGAGCTCCATTGGCATAAAAAGGGATTGAAGCATGAGTTGGGGGGTAAATGTCTTTCCAGACAGGCCATGACCAGAGCGTTCACAGAGTGCTTTGTGTCTTGCATAGACTCATGTTGACCTTCACAATGGAGTCATCTCCACAGCCTCATGGGCACACAGGGACCTGATGAGGCCTTAGAGTCCTCTCCCTAACCGTGGTCATGTATCTCCATCCTAGATAGCAGGTGTGACATCAGGAGCTTTTACAAGTTTCTCAATGCATAAATCGGCAGCCAGTCATGTTTTATAGGGACTGGGGTATTCCTCTGTGTGTCATCAAGTCCTCCCCACATAGTTTGCCATCCTGAAGGGACCAAGTCATCCCTGAGACCTAGCTGAGAATACAGTTCTCCTCAGGAAAGGGGTGTGATGGCTGAGGCCAGAGAGGGAAGGTGCCCTGGCACATAGGAGAGGTCCTGAAATTCTTAGGCTAGGTTCTTAGCCACAAAATCATTAGCAAAATCTACTTTGCTAAGGATTTTAACGATTCCTTAGGTGTATGAGTGTTTACTCCGCATGTATGTCTGTGTACCACATGTATGCCTGGCATCCTTGGTAGTAAAAGAGGGCATCAGATACCCTGGAATTGGAGTTACAGATAGTTGTGAGCCCTAAATGGGTACTAGGAACTAAACCTAGGTCTTCTGGAAGAACAGCCAGTGCTCTTGATCACGAGCTATCTCTCCAGCCCCTTACTAGTTATTAAAATGATTGAACTTTCATTTTAGTCTTTGAAAGTAGAGAGCACTGACCGCTGAAATAGAGTTTGACTTTCCCCTACAGGTTTTGGTGTGCCCTCCTCAGTGAGCCCCGGCTCTTTCTTGATATGTTTAAGTGCATACTGACACATGGGAGCAGTTGGAAAATACCAGGGGATATTTTATAGCTAAGCGCTGTGGGGTGGAACAAAGCCATGCTTTTTTTCATGGATAGGACTAAACTAATACTGCTAATACTACCAGAGGTGCTTTTAACTAAATGATAGAATAAGAAGAGCAGGGATCATACCCACCTCATGCCTTTTTTTCTAAAAAGACAAATGTGCTACTCTCTAAGTGCAGGAGTGTGGGCGGCTCCTGAGACTTTACTGTAACCTGCTGTTGTTATAATCTAGTTCTGCTAAACCACTTCAAGCAGGGATTTTAAAGCAGGAGATGTAGTGAGCAGGTGCTCTTTATGCTGAGTCTATCTGTTGTTCAGAGTTCATTTCCAGTGAGGAGCTGGTAAGTCACATACGTGCCGCTGTCATGAAACTGAGATGTCTTAAATGTATGAGTTTGTATCTGCAGTCTGCTATTCGACATTAACGAGGGGCTTGGGACTTGCTTTAGTCATTTGTTTATTGTGTGTGGGTAATGGGTGGTTTTCCTGCATATGTCTATGTACCACATATGAACCTGGTACCTGAGGAGTTCAGAAGAGGGCATCGATCCCACTGGGACTAGAATTACAGATGTCAGTGAGCTGCTGTGTGGGTCCTCTGAAGAGCAGCCCGGGCTCTTAACTTCTGAGGCACTTCTCCAGCTTGGCTTTAGACTTGAGACAAGTTGCTCTGGTTAAATATAGCATTTTATTGATTTGTAATGAAATGGTATTCAAGTGTGACTTTACACAGCAGCCTGGAGACAACATCACAGTTACACTGGTACAAAGTTAAAAGGCCTATTAGCATTAGCGGTCAGAAAATTCTAGAGCTAGGTTTTTTTTACCCAGAATTCTATATAGTCACTAGCCTTTTTATTTTATTTTAACATAAATACTTAATGCAGTTATAAGCATAGACATCTTAATAGGGTTCTAGGACTCTGGACTTTTGCTTTCAATACCAAATAATATCTGAAAAACATGCTCACTTTTGTGTTTTCTGAGAAACTCTAGGAATTGGCCCAGGTTCATATGATAATCATTCCGCAATCCATAGTCACCATGGGCCTCAAGGAGTAATTCTTCAAAAGAATGGAAGAGGCGCAGGTCTTCGCCGTTCCCCTCTGTCTCCACACTTTCTGCATGCTTGCAGGAAATGTGTTTCCAGTTGGGGTATCTGATTGTGTGCCAGAACTCCTCACAGTGATCCTTGAAGCCCTCCACACAGATTATCCCAGGCTTCCCTGTCATGCAAAAGCCAGTCACGTCTAGCCTTTTCCCCACTTCCAGAATCTTTTTCCTCAGGTCCTGCTGATATATGTGGTGGCTGTAGATCCACATTCGGAGGAATGTGTTCTTGACTGGCTTTGCTTGGACGGATGGCTCATCCGGCAGCTTCCTGTTGAGGAAGTAGGATGAGCTGTTGTCCTGCAGCCACTGGATGGCTGCACAGACACACAGCTCACCTGGATCGAAAGTCCCGAGATAAGCACTGAGACCTTGGTTGAGAAGAAGCTGCTGTTGTCTGTCAAGCTCAGGTGAGCGTCCAAACAGCTGCAAAGCCACGTATGGGTAGCTGTGAGGCATGATTACTTGCAAATCAATCGTCACCTTAAAATAAAAACCACATAGGTTTAAATACCACGAAGCCACATGAGCTAGCTTATCATGGCAACTGCATGCTGATGATAGGAACCATCATGGAGACTATCAAGTGCCTGCTACTGACCAACTTAGGCAGTCAGCTTTCCTAACCACTGCTGACTAGCTACATGTGCCCGGTGTTCTGTGCTGGAGCAGGAAGTGATGAAGTCAGACACAATTTCTGCCTTAGACTGGAGCCTAGTGAGGGAGACGTGCATTAAACCATGCCCACACAGCAAGAATTTAATTTCAACTTGAGAGGCAGGTTTTCTGTGGAAGAAGTTCAAAGTTCCATTGAAGTGTGTAATCAAGGAGACAAAATGGTCTGAAGGAAGGACAACTGAAGGATGTATAGGGGAAAGCTAAAACATTCTTCTCAAATGTCCAGTCCACATGCCAGCTATGCTATGCTGTGCTGTGCTGTGCTGTGCTGTGCTGTGCTGTGCTGTGCTGTGCTGTGCTGTGCTATGCTAATGTTCCTAGGACTAAAGGGACCAGGGAATGGTGGTAAGTTTATATTTAACATTTAGATTTTGTATTTGTAGTTACTATGTACATTCAGTGCCATTGAAACAGATGAAATCCTAAATATTAACTTCATGAAAGCCTGTTTGTTACAGACAGTATTCAGGTATATGTAGAGAGTCATGGTATACACACACACACACACACACATATACATATATATATATATATATGTGTATATATATATATATGTATATATATATATGGCATATTTTAACAGCTGGGTTGGTAAGAAACTAGATAAGGGGACAGAATAATAATATAGGACTGTAAGATCTTTTCATGTTAAAAAGGTATGTGTCTTTATGTGAGGTTAAGGTAGTTAAGAGAATTTATGGACCATCTCATGTTTGGTACATTTTCCTTCCAAACAGGTACTGGGATATACATTTGAAATTGTCTGTTTGTTTCCTGGACAGGAAGCTCATGCATTGGGTTATTCAGTTAACAAGTGCGTAACTGGGGCTGGAGATGGCTCTGTCATTAAGAGTACTGGCTGCTCTTTCAGAGGACCTAGGTTCAATTCTAGGTACCCGAATGTAGTTCTGGCCTCCGAGGGCACTGCATGCACATGATGCACAGACATACATACATGAGGGGAAAACTCTATACACATTAAAGATAAAACACGATAGGCACCCAGAAGCACTTAGGAAAATAACAGCACCCACCTTGGGCTCCTCAATTTGGAGCGTGATCACAAATTCGATGTTGGGTGGGAGCGCCTCCCTAGTGCCTTCCAGATACCTCTTTATGTTTGTTAGGGCGTTTACATCTTCAAGTTTTACTTCCCCTTGATTAGGAAACATAGACAACAGCATTTCCATCTCCAGCAGCTGAAGCTGAAGGCTTTCTTTTATGGACGCTGACATGTCTCCAAATCAGCCGGCTTGGAAATCTGGAAAAGGCCCAGAAACAATGGGGTTGTAAATGACGACTGGTGTCCAGGAAAATTTCCCAAGGTCCCTTTTCTAGGAGGCAGTCCCGCTGTAAAGAGCTAGGGGCACACATCCCAACAATTAAACTGTTTAGATTTCTCTCCTAAGCCCCCAAATCTAGTATGCGCAACATCCTTTAAAATGCTCTGTCAAAACCCAGATTTCTAGTCTCTCCTCCCCACCCTTGCCGGCCATTCTGGAGTCTGTGCTTTCAACAGGTACCCGGGTGATAGATTTCGCGGCCGGTGGTTGCAGACACCTGTATTCCCTGTCAGCCACAATCCTGCGAAGAGCAGGGACCGGCCCAGGAATCCTACTTGGAACTCAAGCCTGCGCGGAGCTAGACGCAGCTAGGAAGGATGCCTCCAGTGCGGAGGGGAGGGCTCTAGGTCGTCCGCAGGCCCCTCGGTTGACAGCCTCCCCGGACCACAGTGGGGTGCAGCAGCTTGCGCAGGTGCATAGGGACGCCACCGCAGAGCCAGGAGCTGGGGGAGGGGTCTCAGCCATTTCCACTAAATGAAATGACGCCTAGGCTAAGCGGGTGAAGACCCGCGGGGATGACGCTGCCCTCGCTGGGCTGGGAGGTGACCTCGGTGGTCGGAGGGATGTCAACGCTCCCGTTCTTTAGGGACCCCGGACCCCTGAGGCCCAGGCTGAAAGGCGCAGCTGTCCACCCCGGGAGCTAACCCTCGGCCCGTCTCAGCCGCCGCGGCCTCACCCTTCCAGCTCACTCAAGCCAAGCAGCCCCCGAACCCGCTCCGAACCGCAGCCGCAGTTCCGCGGGCGCGAGCGGCGCGCGGACGGCTGGGGGCGGGGTTTGGCGCATAGGGCGGGGCCACAGAAACCAACCCGCCGCGATTGGTCGGGGCGAAGCTTGGTGGTTTAGGGGCGGGGCCAGCGGACCTTCCCAGCTGCGATTGGTGTGGGCGGGGCGTCGGGCCGGAAGCCAGACTGGGCCACGTCTGCGAGGTCTGAGTGAGCTGGTTTGGTGCGCACTGCGCGGCAGTATCTCGCCAGTGAAGAGGACGTTCTTGCTCCAAGTCTAGGTGAGCGGGCGTGGAGAATGCTGGGCCGCTGTGGGTGAGTGTTCCTTGGCAGCCGAGGCTGGAGATGACTGCCCGACCTACCTTTCCACCGCTCGGTGCGGCCAAGGTGTTCGAGGTCGTCAGGATGTAGTGCGGAGAGTCGCGAGTAATCAGGAGCCGGGAGCAGGATGCGTCGCCAAGAGTGGCAGTTTGAATGAAAGAAGCGGGCACTGTTGGGACTTTTAATAAGCATTCCCATACCTAATTGAAATTAGTTCTAGAACTCCACATGCATTAAAGGGTGGAAGCATGCTGTTGTTATATGGCTGTTATTTTCCTTTGAGAGTTCTGGATTTCATTGGAGTGGTTGACGCCCTTGTGAATAATCGGGATATATTACCAATTGGTCAGTTGTTTACAAAAATATATTCGTCCTTGTGAACAAGTTTGATAACTTTGGAGCGAACTAAATTAGCTTGGGAATGATCTATTTTACCTCCTGGACAAAAGCAAACATTTCCCAACATTTCTTGTAGCGTTGTGCGTGGAAGTAAGGAAGGGCAATAAAGCGAGGAGGTGTGGCTGTTAGTGGAACGACAGCACCCCCTCTGGGCAAACTAGAATAGAGCTGACCCAGGAAGTGCAAGGTTGGGACTCATGCAAGTACCTGCTGGCTGAAGTGGAAAACCCTGAGTTGAATTAATTGGAGGTATCCCACAGTATTGGGGGGGGGCTCATTTATTTTTAAATGACAGGTCAAAAGCAGCATTACAGACTTGAGTTGTTTTATATATTACTTTAGAAGGCTGATTGGAGGGAGACTCTTCTGTGAGATGTCCTAGCTGACCTGGGAAGTCTCAGACCAGAGGAAATGACTGTATTTTGCTTTCCTTTTGGGGCTGTTTCTTTCTAGCTTGGGAGGAGTACTAAAAAGAGCCACAGGGATTTAAGGATCCGACCTTCAGCCTCTGTCTCTTGCTGGCCACACACCAGACTTTTTATTATTAACTGGGGCCCACCCTGAGTTGATCCTTTTGTAAAGTAAAATGATTTTCTAGGAGTCTCTGACTATAGATGTGATGACATTTTAGGAAAGTTCATCGTGGAGGTAAAGTGGAAGAGGAGTGGACAAGCTGGTGTCTGTCCTGAATCTGTCCTGGAGTGTGTAGTTTAGGCAGGAGCTTCTAGGTAATTCTAACTCTGGAGACTCCTTTCCTCTTCCTTGCCCTCCCAAACATGGTTCTCTGGAGAGGGTCCCAGTGAAACAAACGTGCTACATTGAGTTGGCAGTTTGTAAACAAATGGTACTTGAAAGCTTTTCCTTCATTATAGTTATTACTTTTGCAGACATGAATCTGGAGGCTGTTTCTAAACGCTCAGCATTCCATGCCAAGCCTCAGGGGCTCATCCTTCAGTATGGGACTGCTGGATTTCGGACAAATGCCCAACATCTTGATCATATCATGTTTCGAATGGGGTTGCTAGCTGTCCTGAGGTCAAAGCAGACAAAATCTACCATTGGAGTCATGGTTACAGCCTCACACAACCCTGAGGTAACAAGGTGGTGTCTTTATTTACAAGACTAAGCTATAGTGTCTGAGAATATTGAATCAAAGTCCACACACATTCTCTCCCTTCCCTCCCCAACCCCCTCTTTTCGAGACTAGTTTCTCTATGTAGCCCTTTCTGTCCTGAATTTGCTCTGCAGACCCAGGATGGCCTTGAATTCACAAAGGTCCTCTTCCCTCCACCTCCCAATTGCCAGGATCAAAGGCATGTGCTGCACTGGCTCAGAGTCCACATTATAATGCTGGGACTATGCCTCCTTATTTGTATTTGCCTTTGAGTTTGAAACAACTCTTGTTGCTGCCATCAAGCTCAAGACTGAGCTGGGTGTGGAGGGAATGGGATGAGGCTATTTTCTTGGAGAGTGTCCAGAAATAGCAGAATGTCCTTCCAAGTTTGGATGGAGACACTGTCGGTAACGACAGCATCACAAGGAACTGAACTGGTAATGCATGGGCACTTGGCATTGGTGCCAGCTGGTACCCAGGAAGTCCTCAGCCATCAGCTGAACAGCAACCGTCCTTCTCTAGTCACTCCACTGTGTGCCCCCTTAAGGTTTGTTTTTCTTTTAAGGAAGACAATGGTGTGAAACTGGTTGACCCTCTGGGGGAAATGTTGGCCCCGTCTTGGGAGGAGCACGCCACCTGTCTGGCCAGTGCCGAGGAGCAGGACATGCCTGAAGTGCTTGCTGCCATCGTGGAGAAAGAAGCTGTGGATCTGCAGCAGACTGCCTTCATAGTTATTGGTAGAGACACCAGGTGATGAGAGTTGTCTGCGCAGGCGCAAACATCCTCGAAGGATGACGTCAGTGGGAAGGCGGGATTAGAGGCCCAGGCCACGCTCTACTCTCTGTTTGCCTTAAGAGGCACATAGAGGATGTGTTTGGGTTAGGAGTCCCCACAGTTTTAATGTTCACTTAATTTGAGCGGGGTTTTTGTAGTTTTTGGGAGCTTCCATCTCCTCAAGTACATCAATGATAAGTCAGCATTTTTGTGAGAATTCCCTGAAAAAATCTATGTAAAATAGTTGTGTGTGTTTCCCGTCTGCAGAGCCGGAGCACATAATTTTTTTTTTTTTTTTTTTTTAACAAATCACTTGAGAAGATTTTGTTTGTAATCTGTTGCTGGTTCAGATGTTCTGTCATTTCTCCATTCTGGAAGTCACTGGAAACAATATTTTATAGTTTGTGTTTGTCACGTTCAGCACCCTTTGCCCTTATGAAAGCCCACTTCTTTTTGCAATGTTGGGTTAAACCTATACCTCGAAACAATAGTTTTTCTCTTTTATGCAAGCTCTGGCTTTATCCAAGTCTTCTTCAAAAGATATACCTTCTTCTTCTCATAGGAGCTGGGACTTTGTTTTTTTACTCAGTGTCTTGTTATTAGAAGGTTTTGCAGAAACCACTCTCTCTTTCGGGTCTATAGGCAGCAGAAATGTCCTTAAGTCATTTATTATCCCATTACTGAGATCTGCTCTTACTCGTGGTTATATAATGATTGGCTTGTTTTTCAGATAGATGAATAATTTGTTCTGACTTTATAGAATGAAAACTAGGTTCTATGCACTCAATAGTTTTAAGACCCCCATATTCCTACAGTGTGTGCTTTCAGTTTTGATTGTTATTATTACCTAAGATACATGCTGCTGTCGTCAAACTATGTGCAAGTTATATCCTTTATATCTTTTAAAATATTCTTTTTGTTTGTTTGTTTGTTTTTGCTTGTTTTTTGAGGCAGGGTTTCTCTGTATAGCCCTGGCTGTCCTAGAACTCACTCTGTAGACCAGGCTGGCCTTGAACTCAGAAATTCGCCTGCCTCTGCCTCCCAAGTGCTGGGATTAAAGACGTGCACCACCACTACCCGGCTAAAATATTCTTATTATTGCTTACTTATGCTTGTGTGTTTGTGTGGATATGGATTTGCTAGAGAAGGTCAGGTGTGTTTTATCAGATGTCTTTGAGCTTGAGTTGCAGGCACTTGTGAGTTGCCTGTGTGGGTGCTGGGGACTGAACTTGGATCCTCTGTAAGAGCCATCCTTTCAAGCCCTCTTTTATACCCTCTCATTTCTTTTTCTTTCCAGTACCGGTATTAAACTTGGGACCTCGTGTATGCTAGGAAAACACATTCTACTCAGCTCTAGTCCTAGCTCTCTTTTTAATTCTGATACATTCTCACAAATTTACCCAGGCTGGCCTTGAACTGGAAGTAGGTCATGAACCTAGCGATCCTTGTGTGTCAGCTTCAGTTAGAGGTCTGTGTCATCATACCTGACTGGCTCTTTGTAGTTTGTAAATTTTAAAGCCAGAATTTTCTAAGAAATCACCTATACAAGGACACCTATGCAAATGTTGTCATTTACCATGTGACTTTTTTTTTTTTTTTTTTGCCAGAGTTGATAGCTTTCAGGTACAATGAACATTTTATAATTTTGAAATTCTTAGTGCACATTTTCTCATTCGCTTTCCTGTTTGCTAACTCTGCTTTCTTTCTTTCCTTTCGCAGGCCCAGCAGTGAGAAGCTTTCACAGTCTGTAATAGATGGTGTGACTGTTTTAGGAGGACAATTCCATGGTATGTAGTTTTAAGTTAATCATTAAGAATTGTTTTTAAATTTCAAAAGTAACACATACTTAAAATTTGGAAGTAACAAAACCATAAAAATTAAGAAATTAATTCCTAGATAAATTAACTTTCAGAATATTATAAATTTACCCATGAGGCAGAGCATATTAAAATCTTTTCTGTTTGTGACACCTTTTGCCTGGTAGATTTTCCCACAGTATCCCCCCCCCCCCATACAGGTATCTAAAAATCACAAGTTAGATTTTACTAATCACAAATTACACATATGATCTTAACATTGCTTAAGGATGAAAGCAAATTCACATGCTAATTAGAGGAGTATGCTTATTGATTTTTACACAGAGCTCAATCTTGGCTGCATCGTTGACTCTGTAGGGCATGGAGCATCGACAACATTTTCCAGAGTTTGTAGATGTTTTGATTATTGCCAATTCTGAGAATGCTGCATTACTGTTATGCCCAGTACAAGTAGGTTTAGGCCCATTTCAGGAATGGTTGCAAGTCCTGTTCTGATTTGAGCTGTGTGCTCTCTCAGCTTGCCGCTTCTGATTGGTCACCTGGTCAGTCCTTAGTCTGTTACAGGCGGCTCTCTTTATATTCAAGATGCTGTCTCCTATACCAGCCTGAATTTAGATTGCTGGATCATCCAGATCAGCATTTCTCAATCTGGTTGAAACCTTTTGTGGGGTGTGTGGGGTATGTGGGGTGTGTGGGGGTATCAAGTGACCTTTTCACAGGGATTGCCTGAGACCACCAGGAAATATTTAATTACGATTCACAAAAGTACCTGTTGCGGTAAATCTCCAACCCAAATATGACGGGTGAAAGAAAACACAACTCAATAATTATGAATATATTCTGTAAGCCTAGATTGGGCAGATACCTCTACACTACTTCCTAGCTATGAGACCCTTACAATTTGAGAATTTTCCAGACTCTGTGTCTGTCCTTCTACCTCTTGCTTCCCAGGTGTCCTCTCCTCCATTGTCTTCCTCCAGTCCTCCCCTCTGCTCTCTTCCACCAACCTTTATTTCTCCACCTCCCCTTCTTCTGCCCAGTCACTGGCTCCAGCCTTTATTTTACAAATTAAGATGGGCAGAAGGTTCACTAGAATTCACCTGTGTAATGACTCGCACCTCCTCTGCAGCCCTTCCCAGGAAAGGGAATTAGTATCAAGATACAAGGCTGCGGCTGTCCACAAGTACCACAATTTCAGTTACGAAATAGCAATGAAATAATCTTATGGTTGGGGTCACCACGACATGAGGAGCTGTAGTAAAGGGTCACAGCAGTAGGAAGGTTGAGAGCCACTGCGGTGGAGCATTGCAGCCCCACCCCTCAGGCTCCTCGGTTGTTCTGTCCCCAGTGTAGTGGAGCCTAAGTAAGGGATTTTATACACAAGAGTAATGTGGCCACTTTTATTTTAAGCCTTGTGTTAGTTAGGGTGAACAGACACCATGACCAAGGCAACTCTTATAAGGACAACATTACTTAATGTAGTAATACCTATTGTCAACCATTTTTCCTGGAATGATATAATTTTACTTTTACAGCTGAATAAAATTCCTTTTGAAGCTGGGCGGTGGTGGCGCACGCCTTTAATCCCAGCACTTGGGAGGCAGAGACAGGCGGATTTCTGAGTTTGAGGCCAGCCTGGTCTACAGAGTGAGTTCCAGGACAGCCAGAACTACACAGAGAAACCCTGTCTTGAAAAAAAACAACAAAAAAAAATTCCTTTTGAATGCAGAGAGAGAGAGAGAGAGAGAGAGAGAGAGAGAGAGAGAGAGAGAGAAACATGGGGCTTGGCCTTACAGGTTCAGAGGTTCAGTCCATTATCATCAAGGCAAGGACATGGCAGCATCCATGGTGCAGGTGGAGTTGAGAGTTCTACCTCTTCATCTGAAGGTTGCTAGGAGAAGATTGGCTTCTAGGCAGCTAGGATGACAGTCTTAAGCCCTATCCCACGGTGACATACCTCATCCAACAAGGCCACATCTATTCCAACAAGGCCACATCTCCTAATGGTGCCACTCCCTGGGGCAAGCATGAACAAACCAGCATGAGCCTCCACTGGCTGTCGTATAGAGAAGGAAGTTCAGTAAACAATGGACAGATCGTGGAAACAGAAGCTAAACAGACACACAGTGAAACTAACAAGTTCTGAACCAAATGGATTTAACAGACATCTACAGAACTTTTTATCCTAAAACAAAAGTATATACCTTCTCAGCACCTCATGGTACCTTCTCCAAAATTGACCATATAATCGGTCATAAAACAGGCCTCAACAGATACAACAAAATTGAAATAATCCTATGCTTCCTATCAGATAACCACAGACTAAGGCTGGTCTTCAATAACAACAAAAACAGTAGAAAGCCCACATACACGTGGAAGCCAAATAGCAGATCTTAATCTCAGGTCCATTGCAGTGAACCAGATGTTTCACCTTGTGGTCCACAGCTCCTGCTTCCAACACCAAGACAGTAACAACCAGGCATTGCTGCCCCAGGCTAAGTTAAAACGTGAAATGTTTGGAAAGGTTTCTACTGAATGTTAGTTACATTCTCCCATCATAAAATGTGCCAAGGATTCTTGAACCATCATAAACCATGAGCAGCCTGTATTGGCTTATTTTTTTGTAGATCAGTAGATATATATCTGTTTGGATAGCTGAATGTATATATTGAAATACTTTATGATTTAAAATGTCCACATATCCTTTTATCCTGAAATATCTTGTAATTTCTTGAAGACATTTTGGAAATGATTGAGTTAGCAAATTTCTATATAATACACACAATGACCATGTTGTAAAGATATGAATGCCACGAATCTGCACACTGTTGATGTGACATACAAAACAAAGACTAAAGTGAATACAATTATAATAATTATAAAAACTATAAGGTATGATATAAAAATCTTACGTAAATGATATTTTACATAACAGATAAGTTCAGTGGGAATTCTGATAGCATATATTCAGTATATGAAGTATATGTAGGAAGAGTGCAGGTCCAAGCTGGCACCATTGGCACCCTGTTGTTCATTTATGTATTTAATATATTTTTAATTCCTATATATTTATTGTACATTGTACTGTATTCTTTAGCCATGTTTCCCACTCCCCCTTTCTCCTCTCTCATTAATTCCTTCATATATCTGGGCATATCTCTTTTACTTCTGTGGCATCTATGCATCACAATTTTACTTATCTGTATGAAATCTAGGATCTCTATATGGTAGAAAAATGTGATATTAGTCTTTCTGAGTCTGCTTACTTCACTTAATATAGTAATACCTATTGTCATCCATTTCTCCTGCTAATGATATAATTTCACTTTTATGACTGAATGAAATTTCTTTTGTCTATGTAAAAAACACAGAGAGAAAAAAAAAATTCAAAGGAGACCATTCTGGCATATGCAGTAGGTTCTGTGTAAGAATGAGTAAAGACACGAGCAGTGGGAAATCCTGAAACTTTTCTTGAATTTGAAGGATTTCGGGATTTGGTTAAGGCTAGAGCTTTGAAAGATAACTTTTAGGTTTCTAGGTTGATCAGGCAGGCAGGGGACATGTCCTTATGATATTGTTATAAGTCTGGGGTCATTCGGAGATTCATCTACCTGACCATGAATAAATTTTAAGAAAAGAAGCTTTATTCATATACTGGCACCAGGTCTGCACTGGATATTTGGAATTCCCAAGGTGTAGGGCTCAAATCCATTAGTTGGGTTTATAAAGGCAAACCCACAAGGCTATGTACTTCCTGCCTTCATGCTATGGGCTAAGCAAGGTTGTATGCAGAAATGAGCAACAGTTTCATTAAAGTTGTATAAGACCACACAATTACATGCACAGCCCTTAGCACTCTGGGAAGTTATCTATCCCTGGGAAAGTGGAACTTACAAGTTAGAGGCATTTTTGCTTTATAGATTTTTTTTTTTTTTTGGTTTTTCGAGACAGGGTTTCTCTGTGTAGCCCTGGCTGTCCTGGAACTCACTCTGTAGACTAGGCTGGCCTCGAATTCAGAAATCTGTCTGCCTTTGCCTCCCAAGTGCTGGGATTAAAGGCATGCGCCACCACTGCCCGGCTGCTTTATAGATTTCTTAACCCCAGTAATTAAAACTAAAAACATGTTAGCTATCACTGTATCAGTGGATATTTGTGCATCTGGATATTTTGAAAGTTTTGTGTTTTTGTTTTCTGAGATTCTGGCATAAGCCATGGTTCAGATTATTGAGCCACCAAACTTGTGGGTAGAGAGAGAGGGTTATTGGGGATGGGGTAGAGGTTGGTGATGGGGACAGAAAGAAGAGCAAAATGGTGGGAAAGCAAGTGGGTTTTGTATTACAGACAGTAGGGTAGAGATCTACGCTGATAGGAACTCAGGTGCCTGAGCTCCAGGTAAGTGACCTCTGTGGAAGGTTAAGGCAGGTTCTAGGAGGGTTAAGGAGTTCCTGGAAAACTCTTTCACCTCAGGAAATCTGCTTTTGTAGTAAGCAAAAACCCACCCTCTAGGCTCGTTTACCCCATGACAGTCTATTAAGGCCAGAGTCACCAGCACTGCCACCTTTTTTCTTAGGGGTGCGGGGGTTGGTTGGGTCTAACATTCTTATGGTATGAATTTATGTAAGCTTCTTTTGTTCATAAGAAGTGATCGAGTGGAATGTCTTTTGTGTGTGTGGCAGATTATGGCCTATTGACCACACCTCAGCTGCACTACATGGTGTATTGCCGGAATTCCGGAGGCTGGTATGGACAGGCCACCGTAGAAGGCTACTGCCAGAAACTCTCCAAGGCTTTTGTAGAACTTATGAAACAGGTGAGACATTTTTCCGTTGTGATTAGAATTTCAACAGGTGAATAAAGTAATTCAGCTGGCCAACAGCCCAATTTACATAGTTTACCACCACTTCTCTGTGTGTACTGGTGAGGGTATCCCGGGAAACCTCCTGGCGTCTCTGCTTGTGGTTATCTGTGGTCACTGAGATGAACCTGATTATAATGTAGATGCTACTTGCTTGAGAAAATACTGCTGGGAAGGACTCTGTTTTAGGTAGACTGGCTTGTTAACCCTGGAGTCATGCACAGGGTGTGATCCACTGACTGGTCCTCATAGAACTCGGGTTTTGGTGTGGAGGTTGGTGAAAGACTGACAATTATAAAACAAAAAATATCCCCAAATATGCCTGGTGATGTCATGTGCCTTGCAGAGACTGGCTAGTGTAGTCAGACACCCGTGTGCTCACTCGAGCGTTTAAATGACTGTTAAAGACACATACGTTAGTGAGTCCTGCTTCACTGACTCGTGCGTTTAAATGACTGTTAAAGACACATACGTTAGTGAGTCCTGCTTCACTGAGGTTCAGTTCAGATGCAGCTGCCTTTCTGTGAGTTGTTCGGTGACACTACTGCTGTGTTGTCCAGGTTTATTTGTGTTATGTAATTCCTGACTGTATGTACGTGTTTTCTGAGTTAAATTACACATGTACATGGAAATAACAGGACGTTTTCATATATACATATACGCATGGATGCATCCACTTTGGCAACTTGATGTTTTCCTTCCTTATGTCTTTTTTTTTTTTTTTTAATTTAAGGTTTCCTGCAGTGGAGATGAAAAGAGATCGCTTAAGGTTGACTGTGCCAACGGCATAGGGGCCTTGAAGCTAAAAGAAATGGAACACTACTTCTCCCAGGGACTGTCGGTTCTGCTCTTTAATGATGGCACGGAAGGGCGGCTCAATCACCTGTGTGGTGCTGACTTTGTGAAAAGTCAACAGAAACCCCCACAGGGTATGTCATAGCAGCAGGGTATGCCACTTAAAAGCTAAGCTGCCTCCAAGTGACGAGTCACTCCTCCTGGCTCTGCCACCTTTGGATCCTTAGAAATCTTCCCACTCACGAATGCCATTCAAATCATGGTCAGCTCCTGCTGGAAGGACAGGCAAAAAACAACACTTTAGACTGACAGCCCTCAAAAACTGAGATCTCCTCAGAATCGAGTGCCTTGTCAACCCTCAGATGGCCAGTACCCTTTCTCATTTAGTCTGTCCCAGGGTGGGCTGTGCTGGGATGGAAATTCTTTTCCCATCAGGCTTTGCCGGTTGTTCACATCCAGGGAGGACACTGAGAATTCCTGATCCCCAGGCAGCAATAGTAAGTAGCTTACCATTCTTGTCTGCTCTAGACTCCCTAGAAAGGGAGTGGAAGGCTGCCTTGTAATCATTAGCGGACTCAGTGTTTCCCGCATGGGAAGATTAGGAAGAAGTGTGTTGAGGTTTTACTGTGGTAAAGCGGTGGAATGCCCTGTTACAGACTCTAGGATGTTCTCTGTTAACCTGGCCTGGTTTGCAGATGGATTGTTTGGGCTTGGAGCCTGTGTTCTGTTGCATTTTTATTTTACTGTTGAATAATTCTGATTTCTCTCTCCACACCATGAACCAGCTATCCCCACACATTACAAATGAGCTGCCCCGCTCTACGGCTGTCCTGCATTGCCTCTCTTGTGGGGACTGTTGTGCCTCTCTGTGGTAGGCATTAAGAATTTTAATTTATGCAGCCTTTCCAGTGTAGTGCTTGTTTTGATACTACTTTATCTGCCCTTCAGTTCTAGACTCTCATCCACCGGTCTGATGGTTGAGATCTCTACTTCTGTGGCTTTCTCTGTGTAAGAAGGCGACCCAAGCCCTCTCCTCAACAGGGTGTGTTTGGGCCTGCAGGCAGCCAGGCTAATTGGGTCTTCTTAGGCATTCCAGTTGCTTCCTGTTGTCTCAGTCTCTCTGCTACTGTCCTATGTTGCTAAGAGACAGCAAGATTTTCTGATAACTCCTATATAACAGTTGAAATTTCAGTGAGTGTATGCAAACCCTCAGTGAGCTCATGGAAGTTATAATCTGTGGTCCTATTTGCTAGTATTTCTTGTAACTGTCAGTATAAGCAGATAAAACATGTCTATTAGAACTACATGGGTGGTGGTGGTGCACACCTTTAATCCTAGTGCTCAGGAAGTAGAGGCAGGCAGATCTCTGAGTTCGAGGCCAGCCTGGTCTACAGAGCAAGTTCCAGGACATCCAGAGCTACACAGAGAAACCCTGTTTCAAAAGACAAAACAAAAAAGAATTAGATCACAGCTTATAACTTACCTATTTCTGATTTTTATTTTTCATATGTAAAGGACAACATGGTTCTATATTATGTTTAGAAATCCCTGTAACTTTCAAAAAATTATATGGGGGACTTGCCTAGCTAAACCACTGGTTAATAAAATTTTATTCTAGTAGAATAGCATATTTCAGCTTGAATAGATTCGAGAGCTGTTTTTGTTTTTTCGTTTGCCTTGCAAGAATTTGACCTGCAGTCACAGTGCCAGTAGCTCAGCAAGTGGCATACACCTTTATCCCAACACTCAGAGGCAGGTGGCTGTGGAGTTGGGAGGCCAGCCTGGGCTACATAGTGAGATCTGTCTTCAAAAAGAGTACCTGTAGGTCAAGTGAACATTAGTATTTAAAACTGGAGACATTAGTTTGTTACTCGGAAGGAATCTTTTAAAACATCTCTTGAAGTAGTGGATGTGTTGTACTGTAGCATATAATATTAATTTTGATCTACTATATTGAAAGAATAGTTGAGTGTTAGAGAAAAATCTTATATATTTTACGTAGTGAGTTTTGTTCTCATTTCTTAGTCTGAAGTGCACTTTAAATCCTCCTGTGTGCTAGGAATGGAAATGAAGTCTGGTGAAAGGTGCTGCTCCTTTGATGGGGATGCAGACAGGATCGTGTATTACTACCGTGATGCCGCGGGTCACTTCCATCTCATAGATGGAGACAAGATCGCCACGTTGATTAGCACTTTCCTTAAAGAGCTCCTGTTGGAGGTAAGGTGGGGCTGGGGGCACTTGTGCATTAGAGTCCTTTGAGGGTCTCAGCACCACTGGGTATGGCGAGTTCCTGAGATTTGTGGCCTCAAAACAAAAACAAGTGGCAGTTGTAGCTGTTTCAGCATAGGGGCGTTGGCTTTCATTGCAGTAAAGAATATTCTAGATGATTGTATGCATGCTTCTTTTCTTTGTACTGCCTTGGCCTTTATCATGGAGCTTTGTGAAGTTCTGATTTCTTTAAAACTGATGACTCATGCTTTGCTGAGAATTCAATTACTACTGTAAGCTATAAAATTATAACAAATAATACCTGATATAATTATTACTGTTATTATGACAAGTTTAGTAATGTATTTTTTCCTCTTTTAGAAATCTCCCTGAACCTAGTATAAAACTATAGGTGGCAATAACAATCTGGAAAAGGCTTATTAATAATTTACAGAGATCGCAGATTGTCTTAAAGAAGATTCACATTAAAGCAGAGCTTGCAGATAGTTTAGACTTTTTTTCCTGGTAGTAAATGATTCCATTTAAATGCCATTTTTTGCCTAAACCAACCCAGGGCAGAACTGGCTGATTCTAGAGTCTTTATAACTCTCAGAAGCCATGCCTTTGATTGTGAGTTAAATGTCACCGTTTCCTTCTAGATTGGAGAAAGTCTGAACATGGGTGTCGTACAGACAGCGTATGCAAATGGTAGTTCCACAAGATACCTTGAGGAAGTTATGAAGGTATCCCATCATCCTGTTCGGGGTCTTTTCTGTATAGTGTGGTAAGATAATTCTCTGAGGAAACTGATGTTTTCACAAAGTGATCAGTGAGCACAGCTGAGCACTGTCCAGCTGACGGTGACTAGGACCCAAAGACTCGGACAACCCTGGTGCAGAAGGGAGAGAAGGTTTCACCTTGGAGCACTTGCTGTAATATCAAAACCCTGTAAATTCCAAGAGCTTGTAATGAATGCAAATCTTTTAAAAGGCTAATGGAGTCACATTTGTATGTAACTCAATGGATACTTAAGGCCTGGAGATAGCTCTTTCAAACACAGACCTAATGTTGCATCTAGATTTTTTTCATTGCTATGATCAAAGACCTGGAAAGCACCTTTGGGAGGAAGGGTGTATTCTGCCTCAGTGAAGGCATATAGTCCATAGTGGGAAAGTTCTATCAGGAGGAGTGTGAGGGAGCTGGAGACGGGGTCACTCAGGAAGTGAAGGTAGAAAAGTGGGTCCCCCAGTGACCGACTTCCTTCAGCTAGGCTTCTCACCTCAAGGCCCACTTGATGTATGATTGTGCTCTGGTGAGCCTGACAGAGTTTAGGTAGCTAGAGAATCTTTATCAGTAGCCCTCTGTTGTGTAGACAGTATGTTTGAAATGGAATGTGTCTGCTTGGCTCGTGGAGCAGGGCGAGAACGTTTCCTGTCCTTGCAGTAGTCTCCTTAGCACCCTGGCACGTTCATCATGATCTTGCTTCATAGACTTACATCCTTACGCTTTGGAGGAGAGTCTTTCTGGGATGATGGGGAGTTTGCTTCTACTTGTTTTTCCAGCATCTGCTAGAGAACCAGTCTCTGACCACACTGTCTGCTCAGAGTCTGGGGTTCATGGACAAGTTGGAAGCTGTTTGGTTTTCTCCATCTCACTAGTGGCTAAATTTTTCCAGCCTTTTGAAAACCGCTTCGAATTCCTGCAGGCTCTGGACAGAGAAGTGAATCAACGCAGCAGGTGAAAGACGGCGAAGAATGCCTGGGCCCGCTGCTCTCAACTGTAGTCAGTCTTCTAAACAAGGAGAAATGAAGTTTGATGTGGATTTCCTGCATTTTAAGAGAACAGGATGGTCAAAACATTAGCAAGGCTGCTGGCTTCTGCCCTACTCTAAATACATGGTTATAGCAGCTTCACTCCAGGGTCTTTCATGGATTAGTGCTTGGCCCTAGGACACATTCTGAGAAGTACAGTGATGTGACATGAGTTAGTGTCATCGTGTCTTCAGCTATGATGACCAGGGCATCAGGAGGAGAGTTGATCTTCTGGTACTACTGCAGCACCCACTGTCTCTCCTTGACAGGATGTCATTAATGTAATGCACGGCTGTTTCATCTGGGCGTTTCATTTACACATCAGAAACTATTTATTTCTTAACCCATTTTCCTTTTGGATTAAGTATTTTGCCATCCTATGGTTTCTCAAGCAACAATTGCTGACCTTACTTGATGTCTGTCTTGTAGTTTTGTTTCTGTCAGTGAGTATTTCCTAAATCTGTTGGGCCCACCATTTGTAGCCTGTTTCCTGTGATGATCCAGTCAGGGTTACTTATTCCTGTCTGTGATGAGTCTTGAAAGTCTAACTGGCCTTTTGTTGTTCTTTTAATTTTCATTTTTTAGACAGGGTTTCCTCTGCATAGCCCTGGTTGTCTTGGAACTCACCCGGTAGTTGTCCTCTGAGCAAGCACTGGGATCAAAGGTGTGTGCCACCACACCCATTCCCAACTAGTCTTTCTTAACTTTCTAAGCCAATAAATAGCTGGCAAGAAATAGTCTTCAGACTCCATCTAGCTTGCCATGGTTTATAAAAGTTCTATTGGAATTGAACAATATTGTAATCCTGCACATTTGTTGACATGAGGTCTGTGACTGCCTCTGCGCACTTCAGAATGTTTGTGTAAGACCATGTGGCCTCTATGGTATAGGATATTTACCACCTGGTCCTTTATAGAAAAGGAAAGCAGACCCTTTTGTCCTCCATAATACACCTAAGGCAACCCTCTGAAAACAGATGGTGCCACATGTACCTGCAGTCATTCTTCATGTGGGTGTCTTTAACCTTTATTGTCTTTGGCACCAGAGGGTCCAGATTTTGTTCTTCATCTTATTTCTGGAATAATAGATGTAATAAGTGTTTGCTTAACCATTGTCTTCCTTTAATGTGTTGTAGGTACCTGTGTATTGCACCAAAACTGGTGTCAAACATTTGCATCACAAGGCTAAGGAGTTTGACATTGGAGTTTATTTTGAAGCAAATGGGCATGGCACAGTAAGTTCACTTAAAGATGTCACCTGGCCCTGGCTGGTACTTTTCTTAATAATGGAGTTCTAGTTTGATGAATGTCTAGGTAGGAGTAAACTACATGACCAACGTATACTTTTTGAGGCCGTAAAATTTCTTTTTTAAGACTATAATGATCTTGTATGAAGAATGTATCAATTTGTTCTTTAAAGGGGCTAGAGAGAGATCAGTCGGGTAACCAGGCATGAGGCCTAGAGTTTGATAAGTGCTGGGGAGGCAGAGACAGGCACATTCCTGGGGATCACTGACCAATCAAGCTAGTCTAATCAGTGAGCTCTTCTAATGGAAGACCCTGTATCAAAAAACAGTCCTTGATGAATATCTGAAGGGTCAGTCCTGGCCTCAACATGTACATATAGACACATACACACTGTCCAAAACCCACAATGAATTATTTTAGAACGTATTATTCATCTTCTTAAAATATTCAGTTCAGTAGCTATGATGAAAAGTTTCATTGGGCCTAAAGTATATATATAAACATTTCTTAGTAGAGGACTATTCTTAAAAAAAAAAAAAAGGCAAACATAGTTCACATACTCTAAAAGTCACTATTTTAAAGAGTATAACTAATTTTTAGATTTTTAAGGTTCAGATGTTATTTAAAAATGTCTTTATACATTGCCTCATTTCATGAATAGATTTGAGGTAGACAGCAGAATATTTGAATATTTGAATGTAGTTTGAACCATTCTCTTTACTAGTTTCCAGTTTGCTTTGGAAGAGCCAGGAATATAAGGAGCAAGAGCTTTTAAGGACATAAGGTCTCTGTTGGATCTGATCAATTTTAGTCATTATAAAGAAAATGGATATGTCTTTCAGTAAAACTTTACAAAAACCAGGAGTCCACCCTTGATCTTATTTTACCAGTGTCTGTATCCTCAAAGGGTTGAGCACTGCGTGCTAACCTCAGTACTGGCCTTTTTAGGGTTATAAAAGGATGATTGTGGCATTCCAAAACAATGTATATGGTGATAAGTGTCTGACACTGCGTGCCGTACTGATAAATACAGGAACTCTCTCAGATGTTGCCTGTTGCATGCATAGCCTGAGTCACCTGCTACACATTGTTTAAGATGGGAGTGGAGAACAGTGAACTCATGCGTTTTTGTCAAGTAGTGCCCTCTTAAGTTAGTTTAATAATCCATAAACTGTTTCCTCAGTAACACCTTTTGTGCTCTGATTTGATCTTAATATTAATGGCAGACATAAGGGTACCATCATTTTCAATTCAGTTTCTCCAGAGTCTCTAGGGATGAACAGTGACCTGGAGTGGGTGACTGGCGTCATGTGCTTCCACCGCAGGCGCTGTTTAGTGAAGCAGTTGAAGCGAAGATAAAAAGACTGGCCCAAGAGCTAGAAGACGGAAAAGGAAAAGCAGCCAGGATGCTTGCGAGCATCATTGACTTATTCAACCAGGTCAGAACGGGTAGGCGGCTGTCTAAGAGTTAACATTAAGACACGAACAAAGAGTTAGATAAAAAGTGGAAAAGTCGTGGCTTGGTGGTTTGTTTCTAACAGTGTTGCCCAGTTGAGACTTACACTAGAAATGGGACATTTTTATCTGCCTCCTTTTCTTGATATTTTATCAAGAAAATGTTGAAAGTTCAAGTAGACTTAGTAGCTACTGAGTTATATATTTTGTGTATAGCTTTTCAAAGACAACCTTGGGAAAATTCTGTAGCATTTACATATTTGAGCAAGGTACATCTATGAGTCAATGGAAGAGCAATGTCCAAGTTCAGAAAGACAATGGAATCTGTCTGGTTTGGATTGGCTATTTTATCCACCTTGCTCTATAATCATTGCAGAATTGCAGGAACCAAGGTTATCATTTCCATTTTACAAATGAAACAAAAGCTAAGAGTTTGGCTCTAACCTCAAGTGTATCTTGAACCAAAGCTCATTTTCCCTTAGTTACACCAAGAGATCTTCTTAAAGTATTTGAATCATAGGATGTCAGGACTGAACCTTTATCCAGTCTATATTTCTCATGAGTTGGTTACCTTTGGATACCTGTTATTGTTATCTCCCATAGTTCGTGTATCTCCTTAGTGTCCATATTATGGTTGATGACACACAGCTTGAGTTTCCCAGGTGGACAGTATTTGGTGGCATTTACTTAAGGTTGGCTTATATGCTTTGTTCCCCAATTTTGCAGGCAGCTGGAGATGCCATTTCTGACATGTTGGTGATTGAGGCTATCCTGGCTTTGAAGGGGCTGACTGTACAGCAGTGGGATGCTATTTATGTTGATCTTCCTAACAGACAACTCAAAGTTAAGGTGAAGAGAACATGAAACCACCTTTCTGAGTGTACCTGTTCTTCCATCTTCCCATGCCGAGTGTTTCCCGAGTGGGTTATATTTCATTATATGTACATTCTACTTAGGAAGTGAGGCCTTGTAACAACTGTTTTCCTCACACTTTACAAACAAGTTATTCTATGTTCTCACTTTGTAGAATGGGAGGGATTATGTGTGAATATGCATCACTTAAAAATATGAACAAATTTAAACAAATAAAATTATAAAAATTCTGTAACCAGCTTAGACAGGTTTCTGCTTTCCTGTTCATTTTTTCCCACATCCAAGTCCATACTATTTTGAAGCAAAACTGAGATCAATAATCTTATCATTTTTAAGTGAAAATGTTGTTTTGGAATTAAGTTTTAGCTTGCATTCTATTTTTGAGACTAGGTCTCATGTAGCCCCAGGTAGGCCTCAGTATTTACCCTCCCAGCTGAGGAGTGGAGTTAGTACAAGCAGCAGAATGTGTGTATTCTAAGAGAGAGAATTCTCTGAACGCACTTCAGATGAGCCCATATTTGATTTGAATCAGTCTACACATTCTTCACTAAAATTCGATGAGAGGTAATTAGAACTAGGGAAGCCAGAGTTCAGAGAGAAGTGACCGCCGAGTATTTGCTTCTTGTGTATTTAGGAGATTCTTGCCATAGCTCTCACAGTAACTTGCTGTTTCTTACAGGGCACAGACATTATCTGATCAGTCCTAGGGCCAGACGATAGTTATTGGCCATTATTTTAATGGTAGTCCTGAGACAGTATGGAAATGTTCTGTTTAGCTAAAGGTAATTTTGTGTATACTGAAGAATTTTTCTTTAAATAGTTGTATAAATGTTTAAAGTTGCCTGGCACCCAGTGGTGATGGTGCATGCTTTTAATCCTAGCACTCAGGAGGTAGAGGTAGGTGATCTCTGAGTTCAAAACCAGCCTGTTCTATAGAGCAAGTTCCAGGACTGTCAGGGATAGAAACTGTCTTGAAAAACTAAAAATAAAACAGGAAATTTTATTCTTCACTGGTTCTGGCGTTTCACTGCTGCACACTGACATGCCAGCCTGTGACTCTGTGGGCAAGAATATTTTGAACAGGTTAAACTTTTGAAAGTGAGTCTAACATAGTAACACATATTTCATGTTTGTGCTCAGGTTGCAGACAGGAGAGTTATTAGTACCACAGATGCTGAAAGACAAGCAGTCACTCCACCAGGACTCCAAGATGCAATCAATGACCTCGTGAAGAAATACAGGCTTGCCCGAGCTTTTGTACGTCCCTCTGGTACTGAAGACATTGTCCGAGTATATGCGGAAGCCAACTCACAAGTAAGCTGGGATCAATCTATTGACATAGTTTGAATCGAGGAGGAACACGGAAAGAGAAAACACTGTGTTTGGATCTCACCAAGGCTTTTCTCTGAGATCTGTGAATACAGTCCTTTAGGATACTAGTTTTTCAATCTAGTGAACACATGGGGAGGTGCATGGTTAACCAGTCTTACACCCCCTTTCATTTGTTCTTTATCGCAGATTCTTGAGGGTATGTTCTGGCTGTGCAGGAATAACTGATAAATCCTCAGTTTAGTTCAACACATGCTAATTTTAATTATAGACTATTCTTTTTCCCCTTTAAGACTGTAGTCAGTGGAAGCAGCCAGTTTTAGTATTTCCAAACCAACTGGTAATGCTTGATTTTCTTTCTGGACTTTTGAATTACTTTTTAAATCTTTCTTTAGAGGGCATTCTTATTCTTACTCTGTACCTGTATTTTCTGCAATTTTATTATTGTCCTTTATACTGTGGTTGAATGCAGACTCAGGAAACATCAACAGTGACTTTTTGGCAATGAGTATGTGATGGAAATTCTAAGAATTACATATAGAGGCTTGGTTTTAAGTTACTTAATTCTGGAATAATTTTTATAAACTCAAGAATTAAAAATCTTATTTTGAAGAATCCACCCACTTTCTATTTAATTATGGGCTTTGAAACTTATTACTGAAAGATGAAAAAGAAGTTACTTGAATTCCTCTGTGAAAGAGAGTCAGGAAGCATCCCCTAGAACAGCCAGTAATGGATGTAGGCACCGTGTCTCTCACATAATCTTATTGTGATTTGCAGGAAAGTGCAGATAGGCTTGCCTATGAAGTGAGCGTGGTGGTGTTTCAGCTGGCTGGAGGCATTGGAGAAAGACCACAACCAACTTTCTGAAGATAAATTTTATATTCTGGGAAAATGGACTTCTAAAATGTTTTTATAACACTTTATAACACTGGCAGTACAATACTGGCAGTACTAAGGCATTTGTAATCATGATATTAACATGTCATGCATGTTAATGAATTATTTCTAGATATGTTTTTAAATGTTATCAGGAAAAAAAATGTTTAGAAGCTCTAAATCTTAGACTTGGGAGTGAAGCTTGCCTCTGATTTTAACCTGTTATTAAGTTTTAATAGTTCAAGTGCCATTAATTTTACAGGGTATGCAGTGAATTCGTGTACTGGGAAATTAAACTTTATTACCAACTAATTCTTTGCAGTGCCTTTGCGATTGCTTACCTAACCAAGATGCTTTGTAGCACTGACTTACCTGGTTCAGATAGGGAGATTTTGTATGAGCCGATTTTCCATGTGGATCTTAATGTGAGGAAGAAATGACTGACTTGCTTAGCAGCATCTATCCGCACTGGCAGGTGGCCGTCTTACTTTGCAATGACAGAGCTCTGTGCTGTGCTCACTGGAATGTGTGAGCCAGGCTTTAGCTACTCTTTAGTGCCCAGGGAAGGGAGACAGCTCCATGTAAATCCATGAAGTCCCTGACCACAAAGGGACCATTCTGATACTAGGACATTATTAACCACAGAAAGAAGAAAAACAACTTAATTAAATGAGGCTTGAGACCGAGCAGGAAAAAAGAAAACGTGGTGTGTATTTTTGCAGTTTTAAGACAACCCCAGACAGTGAAACAATGGACTATATCTGCAAATATAGACCTTGTAGGCACCATCATCAGTATGAGCCATCTATATATTTAAACTTGATTCAGGCCACATTCAGACATAAGCTCTTATTTACAAATATTTAAATTAAATACAACCTGAATAATGCTTTGTTACATATACACATATATATATATATAAAAGAAAAAGAAACTATACAACTCAGCAGTGTGTTTTAAGTATTACATTTCCATTTAGGCTCTGGGGAACCAGGTGGTGGTCAAGTCTTGATGACTCCTTCCAGAAAGTCCTTTTCTATCATCTCTTCAATTTTTTGCCTGGCTTTGCTGGAAAATGCTTTGTGATTCTCCAGTTTCATGTCCTTGTTTGGGAAGGAGTTTGAGTAGAGGATGGGGCTCCCTGAGTGTCCTCCACACCGGCTTGTGACTTTGCTGTTGAAGACTTGGCTGAGGACATTGAAGAAAGGCAGAAGCTGCTCCATGTTGCGCATGGTGCAGAGGGTAAGCAGCAAGTGCCCTGGTTCCCAGCCCAGTGTCCTCCCCGAGCAGTCTTCCTCTGGGTTTTTCTGCAAAAAACAAAAAGGGAGTTGTTACTGACAGGTAATGTACGTTATGTGAGAAATGGATACAAATGCCAGCATCAGATCTTTGTTCCAGGCTGGATTAAGATCCACTGGTTCTGAAGCCTTCTAGTGCCATTTGCTAATTTCATATTAAGGCACTTAACTACCATTTTGTAGTAGTAGTTTTTGACTAGACTGCAGAGGCAACTTTAGGTTAAATGATCTGGGACAGACCAAGAGATTCACATACAGCTGAGGACGTCCAGACTCTAGAGCCCTTTCTTTATATACTTCACTGCTGGTAAAGTCATCAATTTATGGCTCAAATTTACCATAAGGTGGTCACAGGGTTCAGAGTGGATACTTTTTGTCAGCACTTTAGCACAGAGACATGAGGGGTTGACCGAGACAAAGGAGGGAAGCTAGATCTTGAGTGACAGGACCTGGGCTATGTACAGGTTCTGGCCTTTATTTACTGTGCTGCACCTGTGCAAGACACAGCAGTTTTGGTGATAACATGGCAAAAACTTTTCTTTTGCAGCTAGGAAGTCAAATGAGAATGTATGTAAAAACTGTCCACTAAATACCAACACCAATAATTTCTATATAGTAAGACAGAGTTACTTTAAGTTGGATGTGGCAACACATGGCTTATAATCCTAGCATTTGGGAAGAGGAGGCAGAACCTTGAGTATAAGATGTAATATAAGATCTTGTCCCAAAAACTGCCATAAATGATATCTGTTTCCCAGTTACTTTAAGGAGACCCTGGCAGCTACAGGAAGTCTACTCACACAATAGACTGAAGGAACTGAAGGTGTTTACACTTGCAAGATCACACACATTACAGCACAGCAGGAGAACACAGTGAGGATGGGAAAAGCAGGGGGACAGGTCAGCTTGTTATACTCATTCACAAAGGGTGCTCTCTTGGAGACTGCTAAGAAATCGACTTTATCTGCTTTTCTTTTTATCAGTTTCCTTAGGTGATCCCAGGGTTATTTCTTTATTCTGGTCTTAGAGTTGAAAGCATTTTAACACTGAGCTACACTGTCAGCCCATTTGCTTTACAATCTGAAGGAAGACAGGTTACCGTAAAAGTGCATGAGCAAGCAAGAGGTTTAAACTGAGGAATAGCTATTGCTTAGTTTATTTATAAGCAGTGATTTAGCCTCCAGTCTAGATGAAAGAATAAACAGACTTTCATTATCATCAAATGATGACACAGTTCCTGATTTACTATATTGCCTTTTGTCTCCTAAATATCAAACTGCAATTAAATGTCAAGCAAAGGGTAGATAAAGATGAATTTATGCTGAAAGTAAATGCTGCTTACACCCTTTATGAGAATCATGGTAAAATTACTTTTTATATTCCTATTGAAATTGTTCTTTAAAAGAGAGTACCTCCTCTGACAGCCCTGAGCTCTTAACCAAGAAGAGCACACATTTCAGTGGGTTTTTTTTTTTTTTTTTTGTTCTTATGTACCTGTCCTCGATTCTAAATAACCAAACATCTCCATTTAACCATTTCCTCCGTTGACTTCACAAATCTACATGTGGAGTGTACCTGCCTTCCTGTTTACCTCTCGTAGCTTTTGCTGCCATATCATAACCATCAATAGCCACCCTCACCTGAAGCTTGGCCATCTCCAATCCCTCCAAAATCTTAAAGTCCTCCTTGTCCTGTGGAAGGAAAGAGGAGAACTCATAGCCTTTGTTTCAGTAAAAAGTATGTTTGGCCGTGAAGGCCTTGTTTAAAGAGATCAAGGTGGGAAGATAACTTTCTAGTGCAAACAGTTGTCTTATTTGTGGGTAATTTTTGAGGATGTCAGAGGTCATGGGCCTAGAGTCCCATGAATGTTCACTGCATATGGATTTCCTCCTCAAATCCTGTGACAGAAAAGGGAAAGTTTTGTCCTTAAATCCTGGATCAGACTTTGGACCATAACATTGTCCTTTTATGTGGCTCCTAAAGAAGCAAGTTCCTCATGTCTTTTAAGTAAAGTTCCTAAAAGCTTTCTTCCCTTTTGCTCTGTAGAGAATCAAATACAGCTTCATTACTGCTGAAGCAAAATCATGTGAGTTCATACAGACCCAGTCTCAAAACCCATCACAAGCCTCAACTATATGCTTTGGAAAGATTCTGCATGAGAAAATGACAGATATTAAAAAGGCCCAATGGTGAACATGCATTTTCATTACCCCTCTGCTTCAGGGCAAAGATTGGCAAGTTAGCCTGACCCTTACTTAGTTATAAAGGATTCAGGGCATGCTATAAACTACAGAATTTAACTTTCTACACTTTATGTATGAGACAGATTTTGGTAATTCACATTTTCTCCTGATTTCTTCCACATAGATGGTTTTTAAAATGTTTTAGACATTTGCATTTTTGAGTCCCTTCACTAACTTTCTAATTAGTAGTCACATTTAGTAGATGGCTTTATTCTCAGCAGTGTTTTTAAAACTACAGGGAGCAGGAGTAGGGTGGATATGTAAAACTGAAATATGGCATAACAAGAGTTATAGAAACTATTAGAAAATATTATTAAAGAAGTCTAGCTAATTCAATTTTGATGAGGTATTTCTGTCAAGTTTATTAAAACTTTAATATGTATTGATCTTTTCATTTTCTGATTGTTCCGTTCCCTTTTGAAGCTAGTCTGACAGGCTTGCTCTGCAAACACCCCTGAGCACTGCCCTCAGTCAGCTCTCACTGATGTTTCTCACGCCATCAACGTGACTCTGAACATACTAAACTCTCAGGTTTGTCCAGGATTACTTACAAGCATTGGTTCCAGTGTTTTCACTCATTTTGAAAGTGAGAAATTTAAAAATGTTATTAAATATTTCCTTTATCTTTTTTAAAAATTAAGTATGATAAACAGGTATTTCTTAAATAAGTCTTCAAAACCAAGAACTTATTTTCCTAATAAACTTGATAGTGTTAGTTTTACAAGAAACATTTAGTAAATGATTCACAAATGCAACATTTAACATAGCAGTTATGTAATACATAATAAACATTTAGTAAATGACTCATGAACGCAGCATTTAATATTAGCACAGTTATAGGATACACAATAAAACATAAAACAACAGTAACATAAGAACCCTCCTAAACTTTGGTACCTTTGCTCTTTTCCGAAGAAGTTTTGCTAGTCGAACCACATATGGCTTAAATTCTCGCTGATGTATGCCCTGCCTTCTGACTTCTAGGCCTGAGTCATCTGAAGCTTCAGGAATAAAGGCCCATCGGTACCTATCAGTGGGAGAAGGCTTATATCAGTAACACAACGCTGCATCATCACAGATAAGCTATATCATTTAGAACAAAGAACACGGCCCCAGTACATGCAAACTCAAGTGCCATCCGAGCCAAGCTTTAATCAGTAAAAGTGGAATTCACCATTTGGAAGCTGAGTGGTGGTGGCACATGCCTTTTAATCCTAGCCCTCAGGGGGAGGTGGAGCAGAGGCTGACGGATCTCTGTGAGTTCAAGGCCAGCCTGATCTACAGAATTCTGGGACAGCCAGGGCTACACAGAGACACCTTGGCTTTAAAAACAACTATTCCAGAGCTGTATGATAACAGGACAACTTGTAATGTACTTGTTACCATTTTATTCACAAGCAAAATCAGGATTAAAAAATGTTTCCTCTTTCCCTAATAGACAAAATATATAGTGTTTCTGTAGTAACTGCCTCAAGCTTGCAGTCCCCCCCCCCTCAGTCTCTTCCTGACTGACAGGCAGGAAACTCAGAAGGAAACTGCTAGGTCTGTACTGTAACAGAGTTGACTAGTCCAGCATGCAAAAGAATACTAGAAGGAAGACTTCCCTCTACAGGAACCGTCAGTTCTGCCAGACTCTTGTACTGTATGCATCCTTCCAGAGAGCTTATGCATAGAAAAGCACATATTTAAACTGCTAACAAGGTGACACAAGGGCTGTGGGCACAAGAGCTCAGGGGCAGAATGCTTGCCTCACATGCTGAAGAGCCTGGAC